AGATATATTCATCGAATTAACTAAACAAACAATTGATTGAATATCATAGCTAATGAAAGGTAGGAAGATTGATAAATATGTTGGTTACCTATCATCTTGGTATAGGACAAACATAGTTTAAGAGTAGTTTCGTTGAGCTAACAATTCATTAAAATAATTTTCTATGTTTCCAAAGAGTATCTTAACTTCGTCTGCAGCCACTTCAATAATTTTTTTTGCTAGGTTTTTTTCCGCCTTATCCATTTCCTTTTGCGCTTAAATCAACAACAATTTTTAATTTCATTTTTCAAACGTCGCTTTGATACCTGCACGCCGCATTAACACCCCATCCTCCCCCAACCCTAGTGTACGAGCACTCACACCTCCCCAAAAGTCCAAGGCCCGACCCTGACAGACGGACTGACTGACTGATGGACTCACTGACGGACTCAAGGCCCAGCCCAGCTCGTGGCTGATAATTTGATATGCCTCTGCCTGTTTATATGCGGTAGAGGGGTAGAGGAGGGTTCATCAGGGTGCTTTAATTTTATTTGCACAAAAGTGCGCGTCAATATTACCGAAAAAATACATTTGGACAAGGAAACGTCGCCTCGTGTTGGCCGTAATTTCTGTTTGTGTGTTGCTTTTTTTTCGCTCTGTGGCCAAAGCAAATAAAATTCATTATGAATTTCTAATTATATTTCCCGCCAAAGGCAACCCCCATTTGAAAGCCCGAAAAAAAGCTAAAAGTTGCCTCAAAAAAGTTTACATTTTTTTCCTCCGCCCCCCACTGAAGAAATGTCAAGCCGCACATTTGACAATGATGAATTTGCTTTGGCGATGGCTTCGCCTTCGGTTCGGGGCTTTGGACAGCAACCCCCGGATGACCGAAAATTACAACAAAAAAAATGCCTTAGATAAACTGATTAGGCACATCAATTGGGCAGCAGCACTCGCACTGGCACTGGCACTCTGCCGGAGGAAACCTTCACCTAATGGCAATTGTTTTGTGAAAATTGAATTTTCTTTTGTACTCCGACAGTGCATTGTCTGCCTGGTTACAGAAAAGTTGGTAGCGGAAGCGGGGGCTGTCTAATTAGAAATATGAAATAAGGCAAATGTTTTCTGCGGTTTTCTGCACCTGCTACCTCCAAGATAATGAGACTGAAAGGTGAAACAGAGCCTGGGGGTGGCATGACGTCGGTCTGGAATGGGGTATGGTTCTCCCTAAATTGGTAAAGGTATTTATTTAAATTATTATTGGACTTAATTATACGAGTAACGAAGTTGTGTTGGAAGGAATTCCAAATAATGGAAACCAATTTCAAGTTTTAGCTAAAGGCAGAGGGGAGTTTTTTCTTTGAATGGCAAAATGTGACCAGCTTTGGAGGTGAACAGCGAATGGAATATTTAAGCCGGAGAGCTATTGTAGAGGTACTTCAGATTATTTATATTTGAAAAGGGTTCAGTAGCAATTGTTGTAATAATGATATTGTAAGCGATGGTTAAGTAGTCCTTAAAGTATGAACAAAAGACGCTATACGATGGGTAGAAGGCAAGGAAGATATATTTACAGTTTAAATACATATTACCTAAGCGAAAATCCCGATACAAAACAAAACGCCTAAAATATTCCACACACATTTCCCCCACAAAAATATACATACAAAGTCCATCACATTAAATAAATGAAAGTCAAACAGCACAGATCATAAGTAGTGTAATACAATCTCCTCATTTAGCACATTAATTTCACACATTTAACTATTTGGCATTGGCTTCTATTTGCCCCACATTGATTGACCGATTGATGAAACTGAAACTAGCGAAATGGACTGCGAGTAAACAAAAAACCAAGCGGGGAAACCTTGGTTTCTACCTCTCCTACATAACGATTTTTGGTTATTAGACAGTGGACATCATTCTGTCGGACTATAGTGTATAAACACGAAAAAAAAAGCGACAGTCAGGAGCGGCTTGACCTATTTTATCTGATGCACAAAGGGAGAGAGATATGAGGGTGTGAGTACACAATGGGATGATATTGATGCATGCCGCTGCGGCTCGTTGATATAAATCAAACAACAATGAGAGACACAGATACAGATATGGTTACGGATAGCACACACACACACACACACACTCACACAAATGTACAGAGCACACACTCGAAATCGGAGGACGTTGAGGATAATGCTGCCTCTCAACACGAACACGCCTTTACCATTGTGTGCCCCGCCCCGACCAGCAACGACTCGTTCAGTTTTGCTCTGTTCCGCCCCATTGTCAACGCTAAGCAGCGTGTGAGGATTATTTCGCATTCTTTTGCAGGACTCTCCATGTCCTTTGTATAATTGGTTGTGTCACATACGCCATTCTGCATCATCCTACCTCATCAGTTCAGATCCCATATCCACATCCACATACGCATTTCCCATGCCCATTCCCATTCCCCCATTGTTGTGACTGTTGTCATTAGCTGTCGTTCCACTGTTCCACGTCCTTGTACGGCTTTTGGGCCCCAGACTACTTGTAGACACAGCGCAACATCTTTCGGGGCTTTGTTTTGGGTATTTAATGCTTCAATTGATTTTTGATTTAAGTGCCTCCCCGTTGACGTCGTTGGCCCAGACAGCTGCTGGCTTGGTCGGCAACCTTTTCGTGTATCAGAAGCTGCCCAGCAGGTTGCCTTTGCCCTCCTTCTTCTAAGTATCTGAAAGATCAGCTCGGGGCCAGCTAATTGAAAGTCTTTCCTACTGATGATGATGATGATGCTGCGTAAATAAAGGGAACCCCCGAAATGGATCATGAAGAAAAAAGAGAAACAAACAGGCAAATAACCCCACAGAAGCATCTGTCGTAGGATACCTAAACGATATCAGATTGTGTTTGAATTTTCTATCTAGAAGAAACTTTATAACACAGTCTTTAGAGAGTACACAAAAGGTTTACCAACAGCGTTAAAAGTACATCCAAAGTACATCCCCGACTTCCAGTTGAGTCACAACATAATTCTAGAAATTTATTTACTGCCAAAACAGAGCAAAACAAATGACAGGAACTACGTAATAACTGAAAACCTGATAATGGCATCATCAGCTGTACTGCATCATACACATGGCACTCTCTGTGAAACAGAGATAAGCCTCGCGTGAAGCAAAGTAAATCCATCTTTTGAGCTCAAAAGCTCTGAAAGTCAATTCCCGCCAGACAGTTGCCAATATTCACTCATAAAGTCAGGACGTACCCAGGTCTGCTATATCACCACCGAAAATGAGATTACACTTGCTTTGTTTACTGGGGCTGCTCAGCCTCACTGACTTGACCCGCGCAGCCAGTAATCTGATCTGCTACTATGACTCGGCCTCCTATCTGCGTCAGGGTCTGGGTAAGCTAGTGCCCAACGATCTGGAGCTGGCCCTGCAGTTCTGCACTCATCTGGTTTATGGCTATGCGGGTCTCAAACCCGGAACCAATGAACTCTTCAGCCTCAATGTGGACCTGGACATGTTCCATTACAAGGACATAACGAATCTTCATGCAAGGTTCCCTCAACTGAAGATTCTCCTGAGTGTTGGCGGTGATCATGATGTGGACACGGCTCATCCTAACAAATATGTGGAGCTACTGGAAGCGAATCGCACCACCCAGCAGAACTTTATAGACAGCAGCATGATACTGCTGAAACGGAATGGCTTTGATGGCTTGGATCTGGCCTTCCAGCTGCCACGGAATAAAGCAAGGAAGGTACATGGATCCATTGGCGGCTACTGGAAGCAGTTCAAGAAGCTCTTCACTGGAGATTTCATCGTGGATCCTCAAGCCGAGCAGCACAAGTCACAGTTTACCGATTTGGTGGAGAATATACACAATGCATTTAGCCATGCCAATCTGATGTTAACTCTGACTGTTTTACCAAATGTGAATGCCACTTGTAAGTAGAAAGATAACTACAGTAAACTCTCATGATTTAATATATTTCCTTTGCTGTTAGGGTACTTTGATGTCCCAAAGCTGCATCCCAAGCTGAATTACATCAATCTGGCCGCCTTCGACTTCCTCACGCCTGTTCGTAATCCGGAAGAGGCTGACTATACCGCACCCATCTTCCAGCCAGAGGAACAGAATCGCTTGCCCCATTTGAATGTCGAATTCCAGGTGAATTACTGGCTGCAAAATCATTGTCCTGCCCAAAAATTGCACCTGGGAATTGCCAGCTATGGTCGGGCCTGGCAACTAACCAAAAACTCCGGTCTGAGTGGACTTCCTGTGGTGCCTGAAACCTATGGACCAGCACCTGGTGGCCTACAGATTGGCAGTGCCGAGGGTTTGCTCAGTTGGCCAGAGATTTGCTCGAAGCTGGCGCAGAACTCAACGGCTGTGTATAGGGGAGCCACGGCGCCCTTACGAAAAGTAACAGATCTGACCCAGAAATACGGCAACTACGCTCTACGTCCGGCCGATGAGAATGGAGACCATGGCCTGTGGCTAAGCTACGATGATCCAGACTTTGCAGGCATTAAGGCGGTGTATGCCAAAAACAGGGGACTCGGCGGCATGGCAGTGTTCGATTTGGGCTGCGACGACTTTCGGGGCCTCTGCACAGGCCAGAAGTTTCCAATAATACGTTCTATTAAATATTTCATGGGATGAATGGGGTATTGCCATACAGTTGTACGTAGAACTCTAAGTGTGATGGCAAAATAAATTTGTAAATTCTAATCAGCGATCGCATTTCAATGTTTCTAATTTGTTTTTACTTTAAGTTTTTTTATTTTCGATTCTGAATGGCCTCATACACTTGACCCTCAGTCGCTGTCTCGTCATTAACTGTACAGCATTAAGTCACTCCGAGAATAAGTAAAGTAAACTTGGATCGGAATCGACTCAGAGTCAGACTCGGACTCGACTCTCTCTCTCTCTCTCTCTCCACGCAAAGCTCTACTTGCTTAAGCTTTTGTGTTGTCATTGCTTCTCGTTTTAATACGATTTCAGTTTCCATTTCAGTTTCATTTGCAGCTTTAGCTTCGACTTTAGTTCGATTTCATTTGATCGGCGCTGCGGTTGTGTTGCGTATTATATCCGAGGCGAAATGAAGGTGTTGCTGTGGCTATCGGCTGTCGCGTGCCTCCTTGTGGCTGGCACTGAAGCCGCCTCCAATCTGGTCTGCTACTATGACTCCTCCAGTTATGTGAGAGAAGGTATGTAAAGTGTTTGAATGAGCCCCCAAGTGTTGCGACAGTTGTACACATTAACAGGTGTGTATCTTGGGTAGCAGACGTTTGTGGGAGATGTGGGTACAATTGTACTCATGGAATATACATTTTGAGAATTCCTTGCACGAAGAGGACGACTAATAATGAATGCTTTTGCTTGAATGTGCATAATATTACCGATAATAATATTAAACCGAAAACCCTTCAAATGTATAGCTTAGTCTGCCTCAACAAATGTAAATACTTTGATTAGCATGTGCCAAACTCACGCACCTCTAAAAAAACAACAAAATACAGAATACAAAAAAATACCCGCTAATCAAGTTACATAACCATTTGTGTATTCAAAACAAAACTGGGAATTAATTCAATTCAATTCCAAATGCTTATCGCACAACCAGATAGATAGAGAAACTGAAACTGAAACAGAGAGCGAAATCTAGTTCTACTCAATCAGCGGCCCACTGTCGGGGGAGGTCAGTGGCTTATCGGACAAGTTTTTTTCTACCAAAGAGAGCGAGAGAGAAGCCTGAGAGAGCCGCTGCTCTCCCGCTGAGCTCTGTTTTGGATGCAGACAAAGAGCGTAAACACGGTTGTTGTTCACTTCTTAAAAGCTAATTACAGTTTGAGTTCACTTACCAAACAATAATAATGAGCAGTAATTATGGAATGATAATCCAAAAGGGAGAAGGTATGAGTTAAGTATTTTGATTCACTGAAACGGATCTGATCTGGTTTGAAATGAAAACCAGAGCGTACAACACACAGCGAGTCCAACACGACAACTGCCCCAACAGCGGCTTGACGCTTGCAGAGATTGAAACAAGTGGCAAGCAGAGCAGCAAGTGACTCAGCAGCGTTGCACAGTGGGTTGAAGTTCACAAAATGTGGCAATAAAATGAATCGAAATGTAGTTAGCCAAATATTAATATGAATTCTAGATTTATTCTAGATTTTATTGGTGAAGAATAACAGAAGCAGATCGTGAAAAGTTCCTAAACAGAAATCCCCTACAGAAAGAACTTTTGACACCCACTGTGCCACGCACCCAAGTGAACAACAATGAACCGCTCGCTGGGCTCACACTGCTGGCGTTCAATTAAGCCACTGAAAACGGCGAGACAATGGAGATGACAAACCACACAGTGGGGTGTGGGTAGGTAGGGAGGGGGAAAGGCCACGAGAGACAGTTCAATGCAGAGGGGGAGAGCGAAAGATCGTCGCATGCGGTGGCGGCAGCTTGTGTTGAGAGCAGAGCGGAGTAGTCCGCGTGTCCGAGTCGGATCTGTCGACGGTCGGATCGTCGCTCTCAGATAGTGTCCGAGCTCTCCGAGCTGTGGAGATGACAATTATTTGTCATTCAAGCCATTGTCAGGGGACGACTGCAATTTGTCGTGCATCTTATGCATATTAAATTAAGCGATATACCCACAACCACAATAACCCCCCACCACGCCATTCGCTTTGCAGGCTTGGGCAAGCTGCTAAATCCCGACTTGGAGATCGCTTTGCAATTTTGCACGCATCTGGTGTACGGCTACGCGGGCCTACGTGCGGACAACTACCAGGCGCACAGCCTCAACGAGAATCTGGACATTTACAAGCACCAGTACTCCGAGGTGACGTCCCTCAAGCGCAAGTATCCCCATCTCAAGGTGCTGCTGAGTGTGGGCGGTGATCATGACATCGATGTGGAGCATCCCAACAAATACATTGAGCTACTGGAGGGCGAGAAGGTGCGACAGGTTGGCTTCATTCAGTCGGCCTTTGCCCTGGTGAAGAACTATGGATTCGATGGCCTGGATTTAGCCTATCAGTTCCCCAGGAACAAGCCGAGGAAGGTTCATGGCGATGTCGGTTCAGCCTGGAAGAGCATTAAGAAACTCTTTACGGGTGACTTTATCGTGGACCCACAGTCAGCTCTGCACAAGGAACAGTTTACGGCATTTGTGCGCGACGTGAAGGACTCCCTGCGGCCCGATGGCTTGCTGCTCAGTTTGACTGTCCTTCCCAATGTTAACTCTACATGTGAGTACCACATTTGTTTCTCTCTAGAATACAGATCTTCAATCCTCCTGCTCTTTAGGGTACTTTGATATCCCCGCCTTAAATGGTCTGGTGGACTTTGTGAACTTGGCCGCTTTCGATTTCCTCACGCCCGCTCGTAATCCCGAGGAGGCTGACTTCACCGGACCCATCTACAATCCAGAATCAAAGGATCGTCTGGCACACTACAATGCCGACTTCCAGGTGAATTACTGGCTCCAGCAGGGCTTCCCCTCAAGCAAACTCAATCTGGGTGTGTCCACCTATGGCAATGCCTGGAAACTCACAGCCGATTCGGGTCTGGAAGGAGTCCCAGTGGTGCCGCACACAGATGGAGCAGCCAAGGAGGGTTCCCAGTCCCAGAAGCCCGGACTTCTGAGCTACGCCGAGATCTGTGGCAAGCTGAGCAATCCCCAGAACCAATACCTCAAGGGTAACGATGCGCCTCTGCGTCGTGTCACCGATCCCACAAAACGCTTTGGCACCTACGCTTTCCGTCCTGTCGACGGAGCCGTCACCGATGGCATCTGGGTGAGCTATGACGATCCCGATGGTGCCTCCAACAAGGCGGCATATGCCCGTGTGAAGAATCTCGGAGGCGTGGCACTGTTCGATCTGAGCTACGACGATTTCCGTGGCCAGTGCACTGGCGACAAGTACCCAATTCTGCGTGCCGTCAAATATCGATTGTAAATGTAATTTGAAAAGAGATTTTTGCATGTGGAGGATTAAATTTAATACATTTTGATTGTATTTTAAATGTTTATGTTTTTTCTTTAGAGACGGGCCATCTGTAAGCTGGACTAGTATTTACTTAGAATTGTTTGTCTAACAAAGTGTGCGGAAATGTCTACAAAAAGAAACTTACAGCCGTTGTCAAAGCTGTAGAGCCCAGTGGAGTTTAGACAGCAACGGAACACACTTATTTTCGTTTTCAAAATTAGATTTGTGCTCTTTTTCTTAGAAATTTCCAGTTCTGTGATTGCGACTATTAGACCTTGTAGCCGCAATAATCTCGTAAATCTGTGAACAAATTTCGGTCAAAATATTTATCCATTGCCGGGGACATACATATGAGTCGGCCTTGCTAATTCGTCAACACCTTGGCAGAGTCTTATATAGTGGATGGAGTCTTATCACTAGCTACATCCCACCCATAAATAGCTGCTGAAGATTTGCGTATTTAAACTATGAGTCGCTGGGCATTATCTCTCGAGTAAACTGGAAGTAAACTGTGGGTACACAAAAGTATTGCTGTTGCTTCTTATTCTGTGTAAATTACCCGAGCCTGAGTGATCTCATTGAACTCGGTGTCAGCCTGTCACTTGATCGCAAACAATTTCGTTGAAATTTCTTGATAATAAGCCCCACGAATTACGTTTCGCGTCCGCCTATTGTGCATACGATACGATACGTTTGGTGTTCGGTTCGGGGAAACGCTGAGACGACTCTACAAAAGCTCCGAACACGGGCAAACCCATTTACAGTGCCATTTGAATTCAGTTTTATTCCGCATCTCGCCAGAGTCGGACATAAATATCACCTGCCTAATTGGGCAACGCAACGCTGTCGTCACTCTACTCGTGAATCTCTCTGTAACCTGATTAACGCTCTCTAAGTCTACACGATGATGTGCTCCTCTCTGTGGCTCGGCCTGGGGCTGAGTGTGATGCTCTTGGCTTCGTTTTCATCGGTAAACGCAGCTCCTAATCTGGTGTGCTTCTATGACTCGCAGGGCTTCCAGCGTCAGGGTAAGTGTCGAGTGTTTTTTGCTCAAATTTCCCCCAATTTAAACTTGCCGTTTGCCCCCCCGTTCTCTCCGCGACCCGGCCTAGGCCTGGCACAATTTACAATGACGGATGTGGAACTGGCACTGCAGTTTTGCACACACATAGTCTACGGCTATGCGGGTGTCAATGCGGACAACTCTGAGCTGCAGAGCATCAACAAGCGGCTGGACTACGAGCAGCGACACTTGGCCCAGATAACGGCGCTTAAGGACCGCTATCCGCACATCAAGTTCCTGCTGAGTGTGGGCGGCGATGCCGACCAGAACGAGGGTAATCAATACATCAAGCTCTTGGAGTCTGGTCAGCAAGGTCACAGACGCTTCATCGAGTCCGCGCGCGATGTGGTGCGTCGCTTCAACTTTGATGGCTTGGATCTGGCCCTACAGCTCCCACGGAATAAGCCACGCAAGGTGCACGGCGACGTGGGCTCGGCCTGGAAGAGCTTCAAAAAGTTCTTCACAGGCGATTATATTGTGGATGAAGACTCAGAGACGCACAAGGCACAGTTGACGGCTCTGATTAAAGATCTGAGCAGTGCCTTTAAAGACAATAATCTTCTGTTGAGTCTCACTGTTTTGCCCAATGTCAACTCCAGCTGTAAGTGGATGCCATGCACTCCAGAAGCATTCCATAAACCAATGTCTCCATCTTTATTTAGGGTACTATGATGCCCCTGCCATTGCACCCAGCTTGGACTTTATCAATCTGGGAACCTTTGATTTCCTCACTCCTCAACGGAATCCCGAAGAAGCCGACTTCTCAGCGCCTCTGTACGAGGCCTTTGGACAGAATCGTCTGGGCCACTACAATGTCAACTTTCAACTGGAACACTGGCTGCTGCAGCGCGTGCCCGCCAACAAGCTAAACATCGGCATTGCCACATATGGCAGGGCCTGGAAACTGAGCAGCGGCTCTGGGGACACGGGCATGCCCGTGGTGACCGCCACAGAGGGCGCTGCACCAGCCGGACGTCAGAGCAAGAAGGAGGGAATGCTGAACTGGGCCGAGATCTGTCAACTGATGCCGAATCCCAGCAATACGAATGCCAAAGGAGCCGACGCTCCTGTGCGCCGCGTGCTCGACCCCACCAAGCGCTACGGCAGCTACGCCTTCCGTGCCGCCGACTCCAACGGCGAGCATGGTCTGTGGATCAGCTACGATGATCCCGATTCGGCGTCCAGCAAGGCCTCGTATGTGCGCTCCAAGAATCTGGGCGGCGTGGCCTTGTTCGATCTGACTCAGGATGACTTCCGTGGCCAGTGCACCACCGATCGCTTCCCCATGCTGCGTGCCATCAAGTATCGCCTGCTCTAAAGACCATAAAGACATCATCAGAGCCACAGCCACGCAAATGTCACAATGTTGGGAAAGAAGGAAAAAAATGTATCCAAGGGTCCAACGGGTGTTCCAAATGTCACCCAATGGGTTTCTGTCGCTGTCCCTTTTTGCAAATTAATTACAAAGTTGTAAACTAAAATGCACCGCAAATTAATTCGATGTGCTGGCTCCATGCGGGGTGCAGGGCACAGGGAATTACTGGATAGCAGTAGCTCCTATCATCTCTCTCTCTGGGCTGGGGCTTTAATTGCCTCTTTGCATTGAATTGTTTGGCGCCCACGTCTGCTGCCGAGTGGCATCGCGGCGAACCGCTCGCTTTATCATTTCGGACCCATCTTGGTCAAATGGCATTTTGTGTGGTGGCCTTTTTTGTGTTTCTGCCGTTCGGTTTGCTTTGCTTTGCAGATTTGCCAGATTTTGTCTTTGGCAAAAGCTGCAGTTGCAACTGCGCAACTTGGTTTTGTGTAATTGGCGCTACATACGCGACGCGACCCCTGCACAAGCCGGACTCTAGGCTACACTCCACTCCGAACCTCGATCCTCGGATCCACATGCGTACTGGCGGAGTCTTGGGCCTCACCAGGTGACTGTGTGTCGTCTGTTTACAGAATAGCTGACATACCACCATGCAAAAGGTTGCTCACTCTGAAGCTCTGGGATAAAGGGAGGAGAGGCTCCTATCTGCTGGCGGGGGTGTCTGGTCTGGCTGCCTCGACTGGCGACGACAACGACACGATGTAAGACAACTAAATTAAGTTATTGTTTCGGGTTAAGAGTCCAGGGATAAGGTGACTTTGGGGTACTCTACTGTGCAGAGTTTTCTCTGATCTGACTGAGGTCAATTAAAGCTTAGAGTTATGGGACTGCAATGTGTCTGAAAGTAAGACCTATCATAGTTATATCTTCGTCTCAAGAATGCACCTTAGCTGTATTTCATATTAGTTATTCTTGGGACAATATTTCCACCAAAGTTCGAAGAATTTCAAATGCTAAAAAATACTCTAAAGTACATCCCAACTTCATTTGACTTCAAACTTTACATCCTCTTAATCTATAGGTCTTTTGGCAGGCCTAAAACTTGCATCCTTATGAATATGTTGCCCCTCGGACATGGTTTTTGTGAGTGTCTCTCACACTTACCCTAACCTCTTATCCTTATATTCAATCCCAGCAGAGCCTGCTGCTAGTCATCGTAGTTCTAGTTGCTATCTATGCGGCTTATCTGGGAATCGTGATCTTATTAAGCAAACTATACACTCGAAAATTATTTGCAATTGGCGCAATGCCTTATTGGAATGCAAAATATGCCATTAGTGGCAGTAGTCGAGACTTGGCCATCGAGTCAGCCAGAGCTCAGCTCACTTCCCAGAGCCAGAGATTCAAGGCCCTAAAGGGCATGGGCATGGGCATCGGGGATTGGGTATTGGGTATAGAGGCATGCCAATCGCATAGCGTACAAGTTGTAAACACGGCATTGTTTTTGGCCACTGTTCCATAATATAGCCCAAACAGAAACCAAGCACAAAACCCAACTTAAGTATCGTTAATCGTGTTCGAAGTGCGCTCCTAGGCTGAGGTTCAAGCTGCAGCTCCTACACTCCTGGGGCTTTTGCCTGTCTTGTCGCCTCATCTAATTAAGGAGCATTTGGTGCATGGCGGCGGCGTCTACAAGATCTGTTCATGATTATTGCCCCCAAGCTATCGCTTGTCTCCACCTAAGGCTCAGCCACAGTCCCAGCTGCTGCTGCTGCTACTGCGATTCCTGCTCCTGCTCCCTGCGAATGACAAATATGTTGCTTGCAGCAGACTTCGACTTCGACTACGACTCCAGCTTCAGATCCAGCTCTTCGACTTGCTTCCAAGGAAGGCTCCACTGTGTTGCCTCTTTAAATAAAGATATTTTCGCCCTCATTACGCGCTGTGTCCTTTTGTTTATTTGCTGCTGGGTTTCTTCGATTTTTCCCCTTCTACTTGCCTGTGTTTGCCTTCTGATTTTTATTTTTTTTCGGTGGCCGATGAAGTGTCGCTGATTGCGCGTTGCATTGTTTTGGCCAGGTCGGCACTGCCGATGATGGCGATAAGCAAAATGCATGTGTCCGTGTGGCTGGAGTTGGTCAGGGATTGGGTCTCTTAACTCCAGATATGATAAGCTGCTTGGCCGGACTCGCCACTGGACCCTGCGATAAGGATTTCCTTGGAAACTTTTGGTTGACAAAAAAATTGCTATAGTTTTTGTCCAAAGACATTAGTATGAAAGTGGCTCTTAAGGTTGGTTTATGCTGACACAACTTTGCCTGTAATTTTTGGTTAGTCCCAGAGCTGCTGCTGCTGCTGCAGCTGCTCCTGCTGCTCCTGCTGCTGCTCTGTCTTGGGTCTCACAAAGAACTTGGCTAACTGGAGGCTATGCCGGGCCTCATTCTCATTCTCGCATTTCCACACTCCCCCCATTGTTATACCTGTGCCGTTTGCCTTGAGTTTGCATTTTTATTGCTTTGTTAATTTTAAATAAGCCACGCGACTTTATGTTCGTACTACTCGTATATGAACCCATAAGTCCGTCCGACATCGTTAAGGCTCTGGCTCCTCCGAGAACTCTTCGTTAGAGTCAGTCCCACAAATCGAATTGAGCTGTCCGCTTCGGCAGGAAGATCGTTCTCGTTCAATTGTCAGCGGGTTGTCACACAAAATGATTTACAGATGACGATCATTGACTCTCATTGATGGCCATGGCCAAGTGGCGCCACAGAGCGTCAAACCGAGAAAGAAGTTTGTGGGAGAACTTAACCAAGAGAATATTTTGGTAGAGATAGTTGGAGAATATCATACACCCTTACAGGGAATGATTGGAGTTCTCTGCATAGGGAAGGCTTTTAATAAATGTAGCCAGAAAAGCGGGAGACCATATTCAATTAAGAAACAATTCTATACATTTCCTGGTGAAACTCTAAAGATTATTTAAGTGTCCTCAATGTCAACATATCTTCACCTTTCCCATACACCCTCTACAAAAAGTGTATATAAAAAACTCAGGCAGCATCGTGCAGAGCCCGACATTCGTTTATAGATTTTTAACGCCCAGATCGTGAATATGTCCGACCACAATTATCTTGTACAACATCGAAAAAGCCATTCGTCGTAGCCGTCCTCGATATTTCACTGCTGTTCGGTTCGGTTCGGTTCAGTTGTGTTTTTATTCATAAACAAGCGACAATAAAAATGTGCCATAACAAGTTAAGGTTATTCTTGTTTAAACGAAATAAACAACTCATAAAATTATGCTACACAAAAAAAAGGAAAAAGAAGAAACCAAAATCAACGTCGAAGAAGAATCAGAAAGTTGTTTGTTTATATTTTGTGTAAATTTTTGTTCGCACCAATTAAATTCAATTAGCTGACAGCTATGTTCGGTTCGGGGTCCTATCTATGTGATGATGTGATAGATAACCCCAGAGCAGCACCTCAACTGCACTAGTGTGTGTGTGGCTCTGTATCTGGGTATCTGTGTGTGTCTGCGGCTAACTGTAGCGCCACTGCCTCGTAAAAGGTTAGTTTAAACAAATAAACACGTGGAATTTAATGAAGAAACGTGTGTGGCTCTCTGAATTATATGGCAATGGATGCTGCACACACGCACACACACATGGAGTGAAGAGCGAGAGAAAACGAGGCTGATATCGTAATGGTATAAGTGGGTTAAATTGGATAGATTGGATGAGGGGGAACGAAAGTTTATGGCACACAGATTAAAGGGGAGTGGATCAATTTTTCTAGAGGATTATAGCTACTAAATTATGCTGAATTTATAGAAACACCCCTTTCAATAATCAAATGACAAGGCCTGAACCCAGCAGATTTTTAATCATTATAACAAAACAAATGCTCACATGTTTTTCTCTTCAACTCATAGATGCACATATCTGAATCAAATATATAATTTATGGGACTACCTTCCTCAACCCATAAACCTGCAAAATGGCAAACAACAAACAAACAAATTGCCAAAGACTTGCGGTCACCAAAGAATGTGCATAAACATTTGCAAAACTTTTGATTGCGGCACTAAAAACGAAACTGGGGGAAAAGTGTGAAATTGTATAGAGACGGAAACTATGACTGGAAAGAGCATCATGCACTGAGAATGGGATTAGTACTGGATTTGGGGAAAGGAAGAGAAAAGCAAGAGAACAGCAGACTGGGGCAGCTGATGACGCGCCTTAAACAAACAAATAAAAGTCTCCAAGTAACTAACAGCATCCATCCATCGACAGGCGGCGGCACGCTTTTGGTCTGTGCCTTAGACATTTAATTAAATCGTCAGAGAAGCAACAATAAAAACTTCATAGATGGATGTGTGGCACATGCAGTGCCGCCTCGGACCTGGCTGCAGACTTTTATTACGCACTGCTCTATGTGCAATAACTCAAAAAATACTTTGACCCGTGTATCATTAAAATCAAAATCGAGAGAGCAACAGAGAAAGAGAAAGAGAAAATACACCACCCACGCGGGCTGGCTATTGGGGCTGGTGTTGGAACTGTTCGACATATCAACGTTTGCTTTCGTATGGATCTTGAGATTTGCTATTAAAACTGTTTAGATGCACAAATAAACACTACACGCGGGGCAGAGGCAATCGTTAAATGGGGGCCCCCAAGGCAATTTCTCATTTCACTTGTAAACATTTAGTGGGGGAATTAACTCTCCGTGATGATCTGAAATGGTAAGATTTGTATCATTATAGATAAAGGCATACAAATAGATATGTCAGAATTAAATAGAGCACTTGGGAATCCAATTAATTGATGGACAATTTAAATAAATTGTTTATCTTTGGGGATTGTTAACACTCAGAGTGAAAAATATGAGGGTATAAGTTCCGTGACATCGATTTTACTTTCAGAATATCTGTGCCATTTCATTCCCTAACTTTTCTCAGCCCTTCGAAGGACCCATCAAATCGTTGAGTCAATCAGTGC